GGTGATGCCCCAGAAGGTGCCAGGGGTTTGGAGATGGTCCACCCTGTAGCAGGAGACCTACAGGGCTGCAGGATCTGTCCATTCCAGAGCCCCTTTTCCTTTGAAAGAAGAAAAGCTCCAAGTTAAAATAAGGAGTGATTTTGCCCAACTTTTCCATCTAAACTTTGTTTAATGTAAAAGGATTAAGTATTTTGGCAGGAAACTGAACAAAGGCAAACAAGAGCCCCAGGCTGGGCCACCCTGGTGCTGCTGTCTCCCACAGACTGAGCTGCACTCTTGAGAGGTCTCAGTCCCTTCATGGCCACCCTGTCCCAACTGCCACCCATAATCCTATTGGGAGCAGAGGGTGGGGTTCGGGAAGCACCACACTGCCACAGTTCAGCTTTCCAGCTCTGCCTTCCCCTCGACTGCGGGGTTTCCCACAAACAGGGGTTTCCCACAAACAGCCTGTCATTTTTCCTCCCGTTATTTTTGGCAAAAGGCCCTGTTCCCACTCGGAGTGTTTTTCCACACCTCCCAGCTCAGACAGTTCCCATTCACCAACGCTCCTCTCCTCTCTCCCCAGCACGATGGAGTACTCCACCGAGGTGTAGCCACCGCTCACCCAGGAGAAGGAGAACATGGACCTGAGCCCCCTCCCCAGCCTGGCAGTGCCAGGGGTGCTGGATGAACCCCCTGGCACAGTGCCACGTGTGACTGAGCTGGACTTGAACTGGGAAGTGATGCCCAGACAGTGGCTTTGCAGGAGCAGGATGCTTTCCGACTTGGAAAGGAAGGACGCTGTGGCAGAGCTGGGATGTGCCTCCCCTGCACACGGAGTAGCTGGGACAGAGCTGTGGCACTGGGGACAAACCTGGGGGCAGCACCTGGCTGGGCTGCAGGAGGTGACCTAAGTCCTCCTCACTCACTGCCTTAAGCACAGGAAACACCAGTTACCTCATTCCAGGTTCCCTCTCCAGGCCTTTTTTTGCACTTTGGCCTCTTTTTCCACTGCCTTCCGTGACCTCCCCATTCCACACTGCTGGGGAACATGAGTCCTTCTTTCACTGCAGTCCTCCCCGGCATGATTCCCACGTGGCTGCAGCTCTGACCTGCTGTTTCCTTGGAAAAAATGCTGTTGTTATCCTGACTGAGTTTAGTTCCAGGCTCATCTGAGTCCTGACAGTTGTGCCTGGCTCAACTACCACCAGTAAACAGTAAATAAACACAACCCACACGCGGATACACAGACTTTCACCTGCTGCCTGGTGTTGCTCCTGCCTTCCTCCTCTGCCATCCCCAACACCCAAAGAAACTGTGCCCCAAAACCTTTCCTTGTCTCACTGGGGACAATCACAACAGGTGGGAGCTGCAGTGCCCATGGTGAGGGCTGAGTGTGGGTGCTGGCTGGTGGGACACCAGATCTTGGTACTTGGGCTGTGCACGGTAGGAAAAACAGCCCGGTAAGTGTGCCAGAATAATGGAAATACCTGGGAAAACTGGGGGGAAAAATCAGCAAACCTGAAATGGCAGGGCTAGAAATGGTTATCCCACCTCTTCCCTTAGTGCTGGCTGGGCCTCCCCTTCTCTGACTGCTGCAGAGAGAAGGGGTTTGTCTCCAGCGGGAGTGGGATCCCACCCCAGGGCTGGGTGGGTGCCACAGCTCCAGGGGGGCAGATGAGTGATCCAGAGGCAGAGCTGGGGAGCTCTTACCTACCACAGGGATAACTCTGACGGACAAAAAACTTCTTATCAGCTCCCTATTTGCTCCCAAACCTCCTCACACCCTTGCCATCCCCAGGACCTGGGCGTGTTCCATGTGATCCTTTACTATCCCACAAATCCAACAGGTGGATTTCACAGCCAGTGCATCACAGTGTCTGTGACATGTTCAGCAGTGCAGCCCCCCCAGAAAGGGCTGCTCCATCAGCTGCTGCCCCAAACACACACAGCCAACAGCTGTGGGGCACAGGAGCAGGGGATTCTTCCTAGAGCTCCAGTGGGGTTCCCTCTGTTCCTTTTGCCCCTACAACAAGCCAACAGCACCAGCATTTTACATCATAACCAATGAGGAGTCAGAGCCGGGGTGTTTTTCCATGTGAACAGGCTCACAGACCTCCCTATGACCCATACCTGTCTATTCTGTATATATATATATATATATATATATAAACACCTGCACACACACATTCACACTCAGGGCCCTTTGCTTCCCTTTTTGGCCCCAAAGCACATGCCAGTCGACGCTTTTGCTGCTCAGCAGTTCACACTGGTGTTTCTCCAGAGGCTGGTGGTGCTGCCACTGTGACCAACCTGCACCTGGGGTGTGCTGAGGCTCTAATCACCTCCTTGCTAATTAGTTCAGGTGATACCTGCTGTCCACAAGCGGCCACGGCCAGATCCAGCTCCCCACAGGCAGTGCCAACTGGAGCAGCCACCTCCAGCACTGGCTCCAACCAGCAAAGAGGCTCTAAAGTCACAGAGAGAAGGAAGCAGAGAAAACAGGAGACCCCACAATGCCCACGGGCACAGCCAACAGCCTCGCCCAGCTCCCCCCACCAGTGACTCACCTCCACAGAGCCAGAGAGTGCCGAGTTTTCCAGTGCTCAGCACTCCAAGACCCCAAAGTGCAGTCCCCAGCTCCAACCCATCCCCTGGAACACCCCCCCAACATCCTCCCTGCCCGGTGGTGGGGGGAAATGGGGCAGGTTTCATCTTGCCCTGACACCTCAGTGGGTTTTTCCAGCCACGGAAAAACATGGGGTTCCACCGCGGCCCCCAAGCCTTGTGCCACCTGCGTGTGCCTGGCAGGCTGGCTGGGTTGTTGCCCCCCTCTTCTATTCTCCTTTATTCTCTCTCTTCCCTTCACCTGAGGCCAGAGTCGCTGGATTTTTTTTTCCCTGCAGGTTCAGGTGGAGGTGGAGCAGCGGGAGGGAGGGACGGCCAACCCTTCCCACAGGCCTGGAGCCCAGGGATTGGGGCGGCGGCAGCACCCGGCTGAGGGCAGGGGCTGAACCAGGAGGAGAATTAGATAAATTATTAAAACAAAAGAAAAAGAGAAAACCCAAGCACTGATCTGGCCGGTCTGGTTGGCTTGAGCAGGAGGGGACAGGCAGGAAGCTTGAGGCCGAGGAAACTCTAAAGGTAAATGCAGCTCTGTTCCACTTCCCTTTCCACGCCAATGCTGCCTCGGACAGGGTCAGCAGGGTTTCAGCCTCGCCCCACGCCCTTGGGTTCTCCTTCACTCTCCTCTGGTTTTTCTCTGGCTCTCTATCCCGATTTCTGCTGCCCCACAACCCCCTGGCCACTGTGCCTCCCTGCCCGCCTCGCTTTCCCCATGGCTGAGCTCCAGGGAATGCTGCTCCCCAGCCAGCACCCCCTGCCCCATGGCATCCACCATCTGGGGTGTCCCCAACCCCAAGATGCGGGAAATGGGAGCTGCAGCTGCCCGTTAGCAGGTGCTCCTCCCTCCCTTGCACTCAGCAGCCCTGGCACCCACTCCCCTGTGGGCATCCAGCACTGTGTCACGAGCAGGGGGGGCTTTGGGACCTCCCCACACTCCCTGACCAGGCTGAAGCTTGTTGGGGCTTCCTCATTCCAACCAGCTAAGGGAAATGATTTAGGAGTGACCCATCCAGGCTGGAGTGAGCAGAGCTGGAGCATCCTGCCAGGCAGAGACAGCCCCATACCACCCTGGTGATCATCTCCCATCCTTTCTGCATGTGAAATCCAGGTGGGCTGGCTCTCCTCCACCCCTTGCTCTTCCTTCCCTGGCCATGGAGAAGCCCAGTTAATCCTTTAGGTACAAATCATTTTGCTGCTGCTCAAGCTGGACGCGTAACGCGCGTCCCTCGCGTACCTTGACCCCCTGTTTTACCCCGGGCTGGTACTGGGCTGTGCCAGAGGGGAGCACACCGTGCCCCCATCCCTGCTCTGAGCTGAGCTGCACCACAGACCACCCCCTTCCCCTTCCACACCAGCAGACACAGCTTCTCCAGGCTGAGCCCAGCCCTGCTGCCACCCAAAATCAGGGTGCAGCCGAGAGTGCCAAAGCTCCAGGGAGAAGAGGCAGCTGGGAGAGGCTTTCCCCCCTCCTGACCCCCAGAGTTAGGCCGGGTGTTTACGATGGAAACACCAGCACCGTGATGTCCTTGAGACTCCCACCTCAGCCCTGGCACCCCCATCACCCACACCAGGGCTCCGTGGGTGTTTGGGGATGGCAGAGCCCGACCTTGCCAGGCTCTGCTCTGCCACCTGCTCCCGGTATCTGCCTCTTCCCACGGGGCCACGGTAGTGCCACCGCTGCCTATTGTGTGAGGGGGGGTCTCCGTGTGCCATCCCTGTGCTCCCCACTTTTGCCTGGCATGTCGTGCAGCTGTGCCAATCCCTGGCCACAGCCATGGGGTAGCAATGGGACACGCCAGGAACACGGCACCTGCTGGAGGAGCTCTCCTGCGTTTCCATAAACAAACTGTCCCGCTGTTAATTAGCGAGTTCAAGGGCATGTCAGGCTGGAGGCAGCTCTGCAGCTCATGGCGGGCTTGGCAAGCAGAGGAGTCCTGCTGAGCCCTCCCAAGGCAGGGATTCCTGGGAAGGTGCTGCACACCCTCTGGCTGAGCTCGCTTCCCCTCCCTGGTCTTGGGTCTGAGCTGAAGCCGCATTCTTAACATCCCACAGCACCCGGTTGGTCATTAATCACCTCCCACCCGTAAATCCACTGTTGGGAAAGCCAGGCTAGGAGTCGGTGCAGGGAGGGCAGGTGACACAGTGGCCACCATGCCGTGGGTGGGACTTTGGCTTTACCACAGAGCATCACCCACCACCCCCAGACCGAACTGCTGCGGGCATGGCCGGGCGCTCCCGGAGCAGGCAGCACTCACGGAGCCCTTCCTGGTCTCTCCCAGGCCCAGCCCGCCCTGTGGCAGAGGCAGGTGGACTTTGCCCCCCCGGAAGACGCTGCACACAGGGGTGCACGCAGGGCCCTTCAGGGATGCCGGCAGTGCCCGTCACCTGAGCACACCATGGCAGGTAGGTGAAATCCAAACTCTCACCTGCTCTCAGCTGGGAAGGGTCCCCGTGCAGGCACAGCTGGGGGTCCTGCTCTGGCTTCACCTCACAGGGTGGGAAAGGGTCCATCTCAGCCCCCCAAACCGGCTCAGCCTGTTGCTAACCAGCCCCGAGTGCTGCTTGCTGCCAGACCCCCACGGCAGAGCTTGTTTTTCCGGGATGGCTGTGACAGCAGGGAACTGGATCAGCTGTCCCATCCAAAGCCCCTCCCTGCTGTGCCCCCAGACCTCTGCAGTGTGCCCCCCGAGATCCTGGTCCCAGCTGCCAACGAGACGCTGGACCTGGCGCTGGGGAGCCGGGTCGTGCTGAACTGCACCGTGCGCTGGGCCGGGGCCGAGAGCTGCCGGCCCGTCCCTGCCTGGAGCAAGGATGGGCAGTGGCTGGGCAAYGGGAGCAGCCAGGACACCTCCTGGTAAGGAGCCAGCCCTGGGGACATACATCCATTCTGGGGGGGGTTGTCACCACAGAGCCCAACCCATGGTGGCCCCATTTCCCCTCAGGTCTGCCCAAAACACCTCAGATCAGCTCCTGGCCACCGTCCTGCACCTCAACCTCACCCACGATGACGACTTTGGGGTGTTTGCCTGCTGGCTCAGCAATGCCACAGCCACCTTCACCCTGCAGCGAGCGGGTAGGGACAGGCTGGGGACAGGGAGGGGACACCCCCATGGAGAGCCCGCATGCCATGGGGGATTGATGCGGGTAATAGGGGCACTGCTGCCTCTCCCGGGGTGCAAATCTTCACCAAACCCAGAAAACCCAGGCCAGGGCCACCGGCCACACTCACCGCGTCCTTCCCTGTCCTGGCAGAGACAGCGGGGCACGTGCCGGCGGTGCTGGCAGCCCTCCTGGTCCTGGCACTCCTGGTGCTCCTGGCTGTACTCTACGTCCGGTGCCGCCTGAACGTGCTCCTCTGGTACCGGAACCGCTACGGCGAGCTGGAGATCAACGGTGAGCCGGAGGGAACAGCTCCCCTGGGAACAGGGGGCTCACAGACCCCTCCCTGTGACACCCCGTGGCTCTCCCCAGACGGGAAGCTGTACGACGCCTACGTCTCCCACGCCACCGCCCCCGACGACCGAAAGTTCGTCCACTTCATCGTGAAGCCGCAGCTGGAGAACCGCTACGGCTACAAGCTCTTCCTGGACGAGCAGAACATCCTGCCCAACTCAGGTAGGCACCAGCCCCCCACAGGGCTGGGCAGGGTGGTCACACAGGCGCCCAGGGGCTTGAGACCCCTTTGCCCACAGAGCCATCAGCCGACCTGATCATGAATGTCAGCCGGTGCCGGCGCCTCATCGTGGTCCTCTCCGTGGCGTACCTGGAGCAGGATTGGTGCAACAGCAGCTTCAGGTAGGAGCGGAGCAGCTCCCACGGGAGAGGAGAGGGGCTGGTGGGTCCCTCACCCCTCTGCCACGTACCTGTCTCGCAGGGAAGGGCTCTGGAGGCTGCTGGAGCTTTCCAGGAAACCCATCTTCATCGTCTTCGAGAGCCAGTACCGGGAGATCACCCACCCTGCCATCACCCTGCTGAAGCAGCACCGGAGCACCGTGACCCTGCTGGTGTGGCGATCCGGCTCCATGGTGAGCTCCGAGCTGGATCCTGACCCACTGGCACTCCCCTTCCATCCCCAGCACCCCTCTTTTTGTCAGCCTCCTGTGTCAGCCTCCCTGCTGCCCTCTGGGGCTGCTCCGTGGTGAGAGCTGAGCAGGACCGATCCCAGCAGCACCCCACTTCCGTTCCCAGCTCCCCATTTTGTGTCAGCCTCCCTGCTGCCCTCTGGGGCTGCTCCCCAGGCTCCAATGCTAAAGAGCAGCTTGGGGCACTCGTCTTTTAGAGGCAATTTAAAAATGCAACCACAACAGCCCTGGATCTGGGTGCTTACCCCCAAACCCACACAGTCAGGGCCCTGTGAGGTTCCGGGGTCTCCCCAGCCCCAGCTCTCGGAGCAGAGTTTTGGCCCGTGGCTGCTCCGGCCATTTCAGGGCCAGGCTGGGAGCTGGAGCCCTGAGGAGTGTTCCAGCAGGTCGGGCAGGTTTCTCTGCCGGCGCGTGGGCACGATGCCACACTGGAGCACGGCCCTCACCTTGGCTGAGCTCCCACCACCAGGAAGAGAGAGCCGAGCCTGTGAAACCCTCCCCAGCACCGTGTGGGGCCAGGCTCGGCTTTGCCGTGGTCCCAGCGTGGCTCATCTCCCCCCTGACCCTGCAGACCCCGTCGTCAGACTTCTGGAAGGAGCTGTGCCTGGCCCTGCCACGCAAGGTGTCCTTCCAGGGGAGCGTGGGGGACCCGCAGACCCAGCTGCAGGAGGACAAGGACCCCATGCTGATCCTACACAGTAGCTACCTGGACAGCACGGGAGACCTCGACCCAGATGGGGACCTTGGCACAGGTCCGTGTCTGCTGATGTTTCTCCTGGGGGGACAGATGTGTGCTGGAGGTCACCTCTGGGCTTTGCCACCCCTTCTTGTGGCAGCAGGATGGGTCCAGCTCCTTCTCCCTGCCACCTAAATCCATCTCCCTGCTCCTGCCAGGCCTCCGAGGGCGCATCTTCGGCAGCCCCCCGGCCCCCCGCCTGGGCGCTCCCAGCACTCCGGCTGTCAGTGGGACGGAGGACGTGCAGCTCCGGGACAGCCACAGGCCCGAGATCGACGTCTCGGACCTGGGATCGCGCAACTACGGCGCCCGCACGGATTTCTACTGCCTGGTGACAGAGGATGACATCTGAGCAGAGCCACAGGCCAGAGACACGGTGTTCCCTGTCCCTGCAGGGACACCCAGACCAGGTCATGGCAGAGGAGCCCGGGCATTATGATGGGACCAGAGCCACGGTTGTGGTGGGAGAGCAGGAGCTGGCTCTGCGGTGGAAAACCGTCCCTAGGAACGCCCTGCCCACAGTACCACCCCTGGGTGCTGTGCCCCGTCCCTCGCCGTGGGCGGCAGGGACATTCTTCCTGCGTGATGGACGAGCGCTGGGATGGGCGATGCCCTCCAAGGAGCAACTGTGCCCCAGCCCCAGGGAGTGCCAGGCGGGAGTGGCGGCGGCACCTCTGTCCCACGGGAACCCCGTGGCAATAAAAGGCTGCTGCACCCAGTGGGTCTGTCCACGGCATGGACATGGGTAACACGAGGCGGGGGTTTCCCTACCACAGGCAGCAGGGTGGGCAGCTCTGTGCTGTGTCCCTCCCACACCAGTGTCCCTGTCACACTGACTCAGAGCCACACCAGGCACAGTGAGTGGGGTGGCACTGCAGGGTGAGCTCACCCCATGCTGGTTACCCCGAGGTGCTGTCCCCCCTCCCACGTGCCAGCCAAGCTCAGGGGCAGGTGGGCATCGTTCAAGGTCTTTATTTCAGGGGTACACAGGGCTCAGGGGGGTTGTACATGGAGAGCTGGGGAGGCATACACCCTGTGACCCCCAGCCGGGACCGCRCCGGGTGCTGCTCACCGAGGGGGCCACGCC